ACAAGTCCAGTGACTCGATTTTAATCCGAGACTTGGCCTCTGCATGTAGCCCCGATCTGAAGCAGCTTACACGTAGTTGTTGGGTTTTGACAATGTTAACTCTACTTCCCGAGTTAGAAATTGTCTAATGGCCCGACCAACGACGCCAAACATGCTACAAACAAACTTTTTTTTTGAAATGATTTGAGCCTCCACTTAGGGCATAACTTCACCGGTTGATAGGCCAATACATTAGCATAACGCCATTTGGACAGATCGAATTGCTCTCTTTCTTTTTTTTTGCCCCCATCAAAGTCGAGTATGTGGCAGACCAGGGGAGACAGAGGTTGTTGCGGAAGCCAAGCGATCGAACAACAAAATAGACAGAATAAAGAAAATAAATCGGACACCAAATTTACGTGGTTCGGTTGTAGTGGCTTACGTTCATGGGGAGAGCAGCAACGAATCCCACTATAGATCAAGCGATACAACGGAGATTACAGCCATACTTGAGTCACTCAAACACTCTCGGTGTTTTCCAAGCCCCAATTACACCAAATAATTCTCGTAGTGTTTAGCTCCACAATTCATTACGAAATAATCTCTCAATCTCACGAAAGAATTGACACACATTCTTACCACAAGAATTTAATCGCTACAAACACTCGGATATCTTCAGGGTGTAATTCCCTAGCAGAAGCTCCTTTTTTATGATCTTCACAAATAGCATTCCCTTCTTATTTATAGGCAAGAATTGGATCCAAATTAGGAAACCTTTTTTTAGGAAGCCTTCTCTAATTATAAAACCTTTTCCAACTAGGAAACCATTCAATTAGGAAACCTATTCAAAATAGGAAACCTACTTGAATTAAGAAACTTTCCTTTTCGGGCTTAAACTCGAGACATATTTTCAACAATTTTCACCTTGGCTCGACATTTGAGTCAAGTCACAATCGCTTCTTCAGAACTTCGCTACTACTCTCCCATAGTCCCAATGGGCTCAATCGCCACATACGTCTTTCAAGTCCAAGCCGCGCTTGAACTTCGCTATAACTGTGGACCTCATTAGAAGACCAACTTCACCTGCACCTGCATCTTTAACTGCTCTACAAGGATTTTTCGACACAATCTCCTCTACTGCAGATAAAGTAAAATCATCGTTGCATCCATATCTGTCAAAAGATCGAATATGCACCTTGTCAATATCAGTAGTTACAACAACTACTGAGGAGATTGACAAGCACCATATGTGTCGATTACTTCGCTAGTATCCGCTACCTCAGGAGTTTCTGGTTGCAACTCCACCTTAAGTTGAACACCGTTCAGATCCGTATAAACACTGCTATAATCACTCCAGCCAGAAGTACTGGAGACTAGTCAAATGTAATTTCTTTACTGATAACAGGTGAATATAATTCCAAGCACCACAACCTATAGCCTCGCTTACCTTGTGCATAACCTAGGAACATGCACTTTCTTGCCCTTCCATCGAGCTTGCCATTACTAACTCGAACATAACATGGGTAACCAAATATTCTTAAAACAGAATAATCAGCAACATTACTTGATCACACTTCTTCGGGAGTCTGACATCCAATTGCAGTCGATGGGGATCTATTCATTAGGTCCGCTAGAAATCTCTTAGCCATACAAGCACTAGAGAGCATTTTATGGCCTGTTTCTAGTAATGTTTTGCTCATCAATTTCGCAACATGTTGTGGTTCACCGTTACTAATGTGGTACTTCCCTATGCCTTTTTTCATGCAGAATTCGTTTAACAGCTCTGAGCAAAACTCCATACTATTGTTAGTCCGCACATGCTTGATCGTCTTACCAGTCTCCTTTTCGATCAAAGCTTTTAATTGCCTGATCCTGACAACAGCATCAAATTTGTGTCTAAGCACAAATACCCATGTTGTCCTTGAGTAGTCATCAATAACTATTAGAATAAATCTGGCACTTTTTCTCGAAGGAAATCGCGACAACCTGCAAACATCCAAGTGAATTAATTCTACAATATCTATGGTTTCTCTGACAATCGTACTGAACTACACTTTTCGCCATTGATCTAAATCATAGCACATTCAGTTCATTAGCCACATAACCACATAGCAAATTTCTTTCACTTAAAACCTTCAGGCTTCTCTAGCTAATGTGCCCCAAACACATATGTCACAATTCAGACTCTCGAACTGATACATCTAACGTCTCCACGGCGAATTCCGTCATTGTTTCACCTTGAAGTTCATACAAGCGATTATGCTTGATTCTTTTCATTATTACCATGGCATCTTAAACAACCTTCAAAATTCCACATTTTGAAGAATATCGACACCTAGCTGAATCCATGTCACTCAAGGAAATCGAATTTTTCTTCAACTCTGGAACATACCTCACTCTAGTCAATGTCCTCACAATACTATCATACATTTTGATTTTAATATCACCAACACCTACAACATTGCATTCAGCGTTGTTCCCCAACTGCACTTTACTGCTATCCATGCATTGATACGTAGTAAATCAGTTCCTATTTGGCGTAGCATGAAAAGAATAACCAGAATCTATAATCCATCCGCCAAATGACGAATCATCAGTAACAAACAAGATAAAATCAGCATTATTCAAATTACTGTATGCTATAGCTGCAATATCATCTGCAGATTCAACTCTAATTTCTTTACCCTTCTCGTTCTTCAGTTTAAGGCAATCCTTTCTAAGATGCTCCCTATTGCCACAACTCCAACATACAACACCACCAATCTTAGACTGACTACGTCTGTTTGAGTTTACACCACTCTTGCTAACACGTGTACTGGTTCTTCCTCTATTTTCACCTATTAAAGCAGTAGATACATGTTCACCAAATTCTCTTCTATGGATGTCCTCAATCAAAATTAAATCTCGAACACCATCAAACGTCAAACTTGTTGACCAAGAGGAATTACTAATATCAGTAACAGTAATATTCCAACTATCAGGCAATGAGAATAATATAATCAAAGCACGTGTCTCATCTTCAAAGTCAATCTCAACTGAACTCAATTGACTAACGATCACATTGAATTAATTGATATGATCAGCAATTGATGCACCTTCGCTCATCTTCAAGTTAAACAGACATCGCATCAAATAGACCTTGTTGATCGTAGAGGGCTTCTCGTACATGTCCGATAGGGCTTCCATCAAAACCCGCAGTGGTCTTCTCTTTCACGATGTTAAACTCGACGTTACGAGTCAATATCAGCCGAATAACACCCAAAGCTCGTCTATCCAGCAATTTCTAATCAGCTTGCTTCATCGTCTCTAGCTTCTCCCCAGATAGGGATAAGTGTAGTTTCATTTGATATAGATGATCCTCAATCTGCATCTTCCAAAAACCAAAATCCTTCCCATCAAATCTGTCGATTTTCACTTTTCCTTCTTTTGTCGCCATCGATTCGCTTCAACTCAGCCAAGCCAAGCTCTGATAACAATTGTTGCGGAAGCCAAACAATCAAACAATAAAATAGACAGAATAAAGAAAATAAATCGGACACCAGATTTATGTGATTCGGTCGTAGTAACCTACGTCCACGGGGAGAGCAACAACAAATTCCACTATAGATCAAGTGATATAACGGAAATTACATCCACACTTAAGTCACTCAAACAATCTCGGTGTTTCCCAAGCCCTAATTATACCCAATAATTTTTGCAGTGTTTAGCCCCACAATTCCTTACGAAATAATCTCTCAATCTCACGAAGGAATTGACACAAATTCTTACCACAAGAATTTAATCACTACAAACACTCGGATATCTTCAAGGTGTAATTTCCTAGCATAAGCTTCTCTTTGATGATCTTTACAAATAACATCCCCTTCTTATTTATAGGCAAGAATTGAATCCAAATTAGGAAACCTCTTTTTAGGAAGCCTTCTCCAATTAGGAAACCTTTTCCAACTATGAAACCATTCAATTAAGAAACTTATTCAAAATAGGAAACATACTTGAATTAGGAAACTTTCCTTTTCAGCTCAAACTCGAGATATATTTTCAACAGTTGATTGGTAGGCCTCCAATCTGTTCAGAACTTTTCTTTTTGGGTTCAAACTCTGAGACATATTTTCAATAGTTGATTAGTGGGCCTCCAATCTGTTCAGGTATTTGGTGAATATCTCAACAAAGAAATCTCATGATCGACACTTGTTTCGAGTGGAAATTGCCATCACGGTTGGTCTGGCAAGAAGTGACCATGGATAGTTGGTATGGTGACACAAGATAGAGATCATGGGTGATGCAGTCCTAAGTTAGCAGTTGATGATGGCTATTGTGCATAGTTGCAGATGCATTGTAATGACTTGGAGATTCAAGTTGAGATAAGCTGATTCAGAAGAATACCTAAATTAAGGGGGAGCAGACTAACACTAAGCTCACATGTGAGGGGGGAATTGTTGAAGTGCACGTGTGAGTTGTGTTAGAGGAGTCCCACATCGAATAATTGATGTAGTGTTGAGCAGTTAATATATCTTAGTTGGCCCATAATTCATTGGTTTAAGCTTTTGAGTGAATGTAGGTCCAACTAGATATACTGACGGGCTTGGACTTGAGCTCTCTTTTGGCGATCTCTCCAGGTGAAGGTATCGGGCTTTTGCTGCGTTTTCCCAATAGAGGTTTATGATTAAGAATATGCGAGGGTTTGGGTTAAATTCCTTGACAAAGCAGGGATGTTTTGGTCTTTTTGTGCCCCCTAAGCTCTCTTTTCATATGTAAGATATACATAAACGACTCTATTGCGGCACTTAAGAAGAAAGGAACAAATAAATACAACAAAGATCCAGCAGATCTATCATAGTCCGCGTACGACCGTGTTGCTCACCAGTTCACACCACCCTCTTCATTCTCGTCCCCACATCAGACAACTCTCTCTTTGTCCTCTTTCTCCACCGCCGCGTTATCGTACAATACTTCCATCCAGTATATAAACTCTCCGAATTCTGCTCATTCACTCTCAGATCATACAACACACAACAGCTTTTTGATCCCTTTGCACACCTTCATCAGTCTTTCGTATCTCTATCCAAGTATCAACTAAGGGAGGCCGGAAAAATGCCCAAGGCCAACAAGTCCACAGTCTCTCGCCGGGCATGGAACCTCCTGCGTCTCGCGCTGCTCTGGGCGAGGCGAGGCGGGGCGTTCAAGCTGCAGCTCCGCCTGCTCATGCCCAAGTTCCTCAAGACCATCGGCCACGCGGCGACGCCTCGCAGCCACATTTGGTACGGCGAGCGAGAGCTCTCATTCGAGAAGACACCCATTGTCCACGTGAAGATGCACCGCCCTGGGCCGATGTGCTTCATGTTCCCGTGCATCAACCCTAAAGTCGATTTTGATATGGAGTACGACGACGAGGTTGGCGATAGAGTTTGTAATGGATATGATAGTATGAAGAAGAGCTTCTTCCTCAAAAACGGAGACAAGGAAGAGTGCTTTTATGACGATGACGACTATGGGAGGATCGAATGTGACGAGGAAGAGCGGGGGATCGACTCAAGAGCAGAAGAGTTCATAGACAAATTCTACGAGCAAATCAAGCTGCAGAGGCAGATGTCGTACCTCCAGTACAAAGAGATGCTCAACCGAAGCACGAGTTAAATAGTTAATTCTCCGGTATCGAGAACATTCAAACTATATTCCAATTTTCGTTGAGGAGTTTTTTTTGTGACGCAGAGTCGCGGCACTTATGCATACAGTCTGAGATCTCCAGAGTTCCATTGATTCTTTCTTCAGTGCTTTTGTTTTACAGTTAAAAATTGCAGTCACACACTGATATACCACTCATAAGTTATTAAGAAAAGAGAGGGAAGAAAATTGTACCAAGTCATTGGCACATTCATTTAGAGAACTAAATAGTCACCTGATTTGGCAGACATGACTTGGATAATAATAACTCCGTTTCTGTTCCAACAGTTAAAACTAGTCATGCTGCGACCGAACATGGAAGAGGCAGATCGTTATATTTCACTCTCATACATACACAAATTTATTTATTATCTGTGCGTTCCTCATTACATCCAATCCAATCCCCAGACTCAACTCAGTCCTTTCAAAAGTGAGGTCAAAAGTGCATTTCCATGCATTACATGACAAAGTATTGATGGTTGGGCCAACCCGGATCAAACCAGACCTGCCTTGGACCTTTTTGGCAAATTCAAACACAACCCATTTTTCTCAAGGAAAGTACAACGTGAACTCGCATAGGAGGGCTTACGGGTTTTGAGTCTTGACAGTGTTGGACTTAGATTTGGCTTAATGAGTCTATAGAAATGGTATTACTTCATTTATACATAAAAAAGAATTTAATCGCTTAAAAAAATTAATTTTACTCTTAAGCACACTATTATTTTAGTAATCATATTATCTATTAATAAATCAATGGATTTACTTATTAAAACTAAGAAAAGACATAAATTAGTTGGGTTCCAAAAAGATTCTTTCGATTCCCTTAATCTTAAGTGGACAAGTTTGAGAAACCATGTAAAACTTCGTCTTGGATTTGAGTCAGATTCGGTTATATTCAGATTATCTAAGTTCTAGTAGAGGATAAGGTTATATAACTATCTCAAACTATTCATGCTATCATCCTTAATCATCGACCTGACTGCCCCAATCGCCAGTCGCCACCATGTCGCCAAAAGAAGTGACGGTATTTTTAGAAAAACAAAGTTATTACACCTGAAATGCGAAAAAATAAAAGTCTAATCTCTATAACCAAAAAATCCAAATATGAAATTCTGTTTACAATCTCTAAACAGGGGAGAAGTGTCAAAAAAGTCCTAAACCTTTTGCATTGGTGCCAATTTAGTCCTAAACCTTTTTTTGGTGCCAATTCAGTCCTAAACCTTTTGTATTTGTGCCAATTCAGTCCTAAACCTTTTTTTGGTGCCAATTCAGTCCTAAACCTTTTGCATTGGTGCCAATTCAGTCCTAAACCTTTTGCATTAGTGCCAATTGAGTCCTAAACCTTTTTTTGGTGCCAATTGAGTCCTAAACCTTTTGCATTGGTGCCAATTCAGTCCTAAACCTTTTGTATTTGTGCCAATTCAGTCCTTCCGATTAATTTAGCTCAAAAAGATTTAGGACTGAATTGGCACAAATGCAAAAGGTTTAGGACTGAATTGGCACCAATGCAAAAGGTTTAGGACTCAATTGGCACCAAAAAAAGGTTTAGGACTGAATTGGCACAAATGCAAAAGGTTTAGGATTGAATTGGCACCAATGCAAAAGGTTTAGGACTGAATTGGCACCAAAAAAAGGTTTAGGACTAAATTGGCACAAATGTAAAAGGTTTAGGACTCAATTGGCACCAAAAAAAGGTTTAGGACTAAATTGGCACAAATGCAAAAGGTTTAGGACTTTTTTGACACTTTTCCCCTCTAAACAGTATCTTGAATAAGATAGTCATAAGTTATCTCCACGGCCCTCCATCCATTTTTTCCATCTAATATGAAGAAACACACATTTCTATTCAAAGTTCAATAAGGTTGTATCATTTGAAATCTTTGGGATCTAGTGCGTGTCAATTCTAAAGTTCCAGGATCTATCTCCTTCCCTCCATTTTTCTTCATATAAAAATTTCAAGAAACGGACGTTTCTATGCAAAGTCAAAGAGTGGTGTGTCATGTGAAAGTTTATAATCTAGAGTATACCACTTCAAAAGTTTGAGAGATTTGTGCTACTTATCCTTAATTTCTTATCATAATAAATCCCGATTTTTACCTATGAAAAGTCATGTGTGTTGTACATGTTAAAAGAAAAAGGACGGATTTGGATTACTATAATACAATTAAAGTTCAAAGGTATGGTGTAATAGTAAAAAATTCTGGGCTGAAAGAATATGAACCCCAAAATTTGGGGCGATTTTGTGTAATTTGCCCAAAAAGATCCACGGTTTGTACCTCTTAAACTTAGAGTAAAATTTCTCCAATCATGTGATTGGTAGTTAGCGTCATATGTATGGGATCGTGGAGTGTATCGCTATCAATCATGATAAGTCTTTTCTTCTTTTCCCCACTTGGTCTTGGTGTTACTTCAATTGCACTCTACATGATTAAAGAAAGTTCTGCTCCTAATTTTTTGCTCCAATCGTGATTCAAGTAAGACCATTTTTTTTCTTTTTTATTTAAGTGGTCAAGTGATGTTCAGGTCAATTTTCGAGCATCTCGACTAGTCCATCTTCTCAAGGCGTTCGAGAGGCGGACTCCCCCACATCAGCCTTACCCATTTAGGATTTTACTCTTGGAGTGCTAGTAAGAGCATTTATGGCATAAATAGACGAAGCAAACAAAATTGCAAATCTTTGAAGGAAAAAACTTTAGGGAAAAAAACACAAAAGACACCACAAGTGCCATAACTTACGTATGCAGCGATCACTTTGGTCCATAACTTTTTTCTGATCACTTTGCATGTCGGAGGAAAAGAGATCACTTTAGTGTCAATTTGGCTGAATTCCGACGTGGCATTTTTATTCATTTTACGCCGACGTGGCTCGCGGACGGAGGCTGATCAACCACTGATCAAGCATTTTTAATTTTAAATATTTTTTTTCCTTTTTTTTTTTTCTTTCCTTTTTCTTTTCTTTTCTTTTTTTCTTTTCTCCCCTCGCCGGCCGTTGCCGGTGGCCGGCCAGCCACCGCGAAGCCCGAGAAGGGTTGACGAGGGTGGCCTTGCCCATGGCCGGCGAGGGCGGCCGACCCTCGCCGGCGAGTCGCCGAGGCCGGCCCAGCGAGGCCGCCCTCGCCGGCCCGGCGAGGTCGCCCTCGCTAGATTTGGCGAGGGCGACCCTCGCCCGGCGTCGGGCGAGGGTCGCCCACGCCCGACTCGGGCGAGGCCGACCCTTGCCCGCCCGAGCGAGGGCTTCCTCGCCCGACGCCGGCAAGGGCTTCCTCGCGACGCGGCGAGGGTCGCCCGACGCCGGCGAGGGTCGCCCACGCCCGACTCAGCGAGTCGGGCTCGGGCGAGGGCGCCTCGCTGACGCCGGCGAAGGTCGCCCTCGCCAGATCTGGTGAAGGCGACCTTCGCGGCGGCGTCGGGCGAGGAAGCCTCGCTGGGGCAGCGAGGGTCGCCCTCGCTGAGTGGGCGTGGCGACCCTCGCCCGACGCCGTGCGGGTCGCCTCGCTCGGATCGCGAGGCGACCTTCGCGGCGCCGAGCGAGGTAGCCTCGCCGTCGCCGCGAGGGTCGGCCGCCCCTCGCCGGCCATGGGCAAGGCCGCCTCGCCCGGCCCTTCCGGGCTTCACCGGTGGCCGGTCGGCGAGGGAGAAAAGAAAAAAGAAAAGAAAGAAAAAGGAAAGAAGAAAAAATATTTAAAATTAAAAATGCTGACGTACATGCTAAAAAATTATTTAAAATAAAAATGCTTCGTACATCGTTGACTCAGCCTCTCCGGCGAGCCACGTCGGCGTAATAAATGAATAAAAATGCCACGTCGGATTTCCGGCCAAATTGGACTAAAGTGATCTCTTTTCCTCCGACTCGCATCAAAGCGATCCGAAAAAAAGTTATGGCACCAAAGTGATCCGAAAAAGTTATGGCACCAAAGTGATCGCCGTACACAAGTTATGGCACTTGTGGTGTACTTTTGCAAAAAAAAAACACTTCTGGAGCACGAAGTATAGACAGGCTGGTTGCAAAACATCCAAATAAAATCCAAGAAATCATAGGTTGGCATGAAAGCTTGACAAATCAGGTGTTTTCTTCTTGCGTGCGAAGAAGGTGATCGACTTAAGTGTGATGAACAGCTAACCAATTAGCATCGCAAAGCCTTCCTTCTCACATAATTGGATGTAATCTGCGTTGCTGGCTGGCGCCCATGAACTCACATGAGACTGGGCCAAACCGGGAATTTTGGTTTTTTCAAATTTGGCATGTCTAGGAAATTCATAAAACCAAACTAAATCTTGCAATCTAATGGCGATCCATGTCTGATGTAAGTCATTTCCTGCGCATAATATGTATTTGACATAATAAAGTGGCTGGCTTTCTTGTATTTGTCTACTGATCTGGGGTTTGTGAATGTTCTCACGTTTTTCTCATTCTGCTGGATTGCAACACAATTTTCAGCTACATACAGATGGCTTAATTTTGGGTTCTTTGGTTTTGACTTGAGATTAAGGGTCTGTTTAGTAACGTTTCTGTTTCTTTGTTTTTCTGTTCTTTTGTTCCCCGGAATAGAAAAAGAACAGAAATCCGTTTAGTAAAAAAAATCTACTTTTTTGTTTCTGGAACAAAAAAGTGATCCTGGAATAGATTTGGAACAGAAACAAGAAGCAAAAAAAATCTACTTCTTTGTTTCTGGAACAAAAACAAGAAACGATTTTTTCTGGAATAGACCTAGGTCTGCATAGCAACGTTTTTGTTCCCAGAAACAATTTCTGATCAGAAATTGTTTTTTCTATTTCTATTTCTTGGAACAGTTTCTGAGCAAAAACTAGCGTTTAGTAATGGCACAAAATTTCTATTACTGGAATAGAAAAAGAATAGAAACGCGTTTAGGGCGCGAATGATCCATTTCTATTCCATGGACGAGTTTCTCCCTTCTGGGCTACCGGCGGAGGACGGCGGGTGGCGGTGGGGGGTGGAGGATGGTTGTTGGCGGCGGCAGAGGATGGCGGTCGGTGGCGGGAGGCAGTGGAGCACGGCGGTCAGTGGCGGAGCACGGTGGCGTCAGGCGGCGGTGACGGCAGCGGGGGGCGGCGGCGGGAGGTGGTTGGCGGCAGAGGGTGGCCAGCGTCGGTCGATGGAGCACGGCGGCCGGTGGCGAAGGATGGCGGCCGATGGTGGGTGACCACCGGCGTCGGGTGGCCGAGGGCGGGAGGTGGCCGAGGCGCGTGGCCGGTGGTGGCCGGCGTTGAGCGGCCGGGCGGCGTGGCCGGCGTTGGGCGGTGGAGCACGATGGTGGTGGTTGGCGGGGGGAGGCGGCCGGCGTCGGGCGATGGAGCACGGCGGCCAGCGGTGGAGGACGGCAGCCGGTGGCGGGTGGCGACAAGCGTCGAGCGGCGGATGACAATGGTCGACAACAAGAGGCGGCGGCGAGCGGGAGGCGGCCGGTGGGCGGGAGGCGGGCGGCAGGTGGCGGCGAAGGACGGCGAGAGGCGGCTGTGGGCGGGTTGCGGCCGATGGATTGTTTCTTGTTTTTGGAGGATTCCAGAAAAAATCGTTTCTTGTTTTTGTTCCAGAAACAAAGTAGTAGATTTTTTTTGCTTCTTGTTTTTGTTCCAAATCTATTCCAGGATCACTTTTTTGTTCCAGAAACAAAAAAGTAGATTTTTTTTACTAAATGGATTTCTGTTCTTTTTCTGTTCCTGGAAACAAAAGAATAGAAAAATAAAGAAACAGAAACGTTACTAAACAGACCCTTATTAGTCAGAAAAAGGAAACATCCTATCAATAAGTAAACCTCTTTACACGGTTTCGAAGAATCCATGTAACCGATGACCAAGACCTCAACTTAAATAATTCTTCCTATAAAATATAAATACATTTTACAAGTAACAAGTAACAAGCGTTAGCCTTTAAGCAAAGTCCTTGACTTTTGTTTAAGTGGCTTATTGTTCAAAATCTAGAACAATTTTTTCAATGCACACAATTCATGTGGTCGTCCTCGACGATTGAACTTCCTTCTAGGAACAATGGTGGAGCCAAAAGGAGGAACCGGTAGAAGTCGTCGCCCCTTGATCTCTTGACGCGCAAGAATATTATTATTATTATTATCGTAATAATTGTTATTTTTGGTAATGCAAGGATACAAGCTTAGATGCATTACTACGTAGAGGTTATGGAACACCCTGCAAATCTTATGAACGGTTTGCACGTGGTTAGAAAGATTCGAATATATGACTTTCGGTTCATGAGTTGGAAACTCTCTAAAACTTTCTTTTATAGTCTAGGGGCTTCAGGAAGAGGCCTGGTCACTGCGAGTTCATAGAATACCCAACAAGCTTCATGAATCGGTTTGATCCAATCCTTTGACTTGTGCCGGAGGCCATAAACTAAAACAACTTGCACGTAATTGTTGAGATCTAAATATGTGACTTCAAATTTCTACACCAAATAGATTACACACAAATTTTTTTTCCAAAAAATCATTGAGCCTTAATGTTATGGTACCCATCCATACATAATTTCTTTCCTTTTTCACCTTTCCTTGATTTTCCCAATCTGCCCTTTCCCCTTCCCCTTCCTCTATGGTCTGGGCCGACGCTCAAGGTAGCGATTGTTTTCATGGACAGGGAGGTAGAGACATAAGGCGAGGGCAACTATCGCGGCAAGGGTGATGATTGTGTGGGGGAGGCAACGGCGGCATGGTTCGGGTGGCGATGGAAGAGCGCCGCGTCTGTGGCAAATCAGGGGAGAGAGATGTTTACGGTCAGGCATCGGTTTGCCGTGAGTTCATTGACAAAGCAGGGGTATTTTGGTCTTTTCGTGCCTCCTAACCTAATCGGTAAACGCTTTCTTCTTTTCTTTAAGATGTACATATAAGCAACTCCATTGCGGCTCTTTAGGAGAAAGGAACTAAACTAAACACAACAAAGGTACAGCAGATCTATTAAAGTCCGCGTACAACCGTGTTTGCTCACCAGTTCACACCACCCTTTTCATTCTCGCCCCCACATCAAACAACTCTCTCTTTGTCCTCTTTCTCCACCGCCGCGTTGTCGTACAACATTTCCCATCCAGTATTTAAACTCCCCAAACTCTGCTCATTCTCCCTCAGATCATACAACCCACAACAGCTTTTTTGATCACTTTGCACTCATCCACACCTTCATCACTCACTCATATCTCTATCTCAGTATCAACCAAGGGAGCCCCAAAAAATGCCCAAGGCAAACAAGTCCGGCGTCTCTCGCCGGGCATGGAACCTCCTGCGACTCGTGCTGCTCTGGGCGAGGCGAAGTGGGGCTTTCAAGCTGCAGCTCCGCCTGCTCATGCCCAAGTTCCTCAAGACCATCGGCCATGCGGCGGCCCCTCGCAGCCACATCTGGTATGGTGAGCGGGAGCTCTCCTTCGAGAAGACGCCGGTTGTCCACGTGAAGATGCACCGTCCTGGGTCGATGCGGTTCATGCTCCCGTGCATCAACCCTAAGGTAGATTTCGATATGGAGTTCGATGACGAGGACGGCGATAGAGTTTGTTACGACGACAACTATGGGAGGATCGAACGCGAGGAGGAAGAGCGGGAGAACGACTCTAGAGCAGAAGAGTTCATAGCCAAATTCTACGAGCAAATCAAGCTGCAGAGGCAGATGTCGTACCTTGAGTACAATGAGATGCTGAACCGAAGCGCGAGTTAAGAGATAACCCTCATCGATAACTTTAGTACCACATTCCAAATTCCATCGATGAGTTTATTCTGTGACACAATCGCGGCACTTTTTTATACAGCACGAGATCTCCAGTGATTTGGCAGACATGACTTGGACTTTATTAACTCCCTTCCTATTCCGACAGTTAAATTTAAACATGCGGCGACCGAACATAGAAGACGCAGATCATTATATTTGAACATGGGAAAACAAGAATGAGAGGGGTCAAATGCAAGTGTCCAAGAAAGTGTTCCTCATCTATGTCGGAAAACCATTTTTCATTGCATATGTACTACATTTATCATACATTTTACCCTCGTTTATACACAAATCGATTTATTATCCATGTTTTCCTCATTGCATCTAATCGAATCACCACAAACTCAACTCAGTCCTCTTGACAGTGAGATTAGAAGCGCATTTCCATGCATTACATGACGAAGTATTGGTGGTTGGGCCAACCCGAATCAAGCCAGACCTGCCTTAGCCTCTTTTGCAAAGTCAAACACAGCCCATTTTCTCAAAGAAAGTGCAAAGTGAACTCGAATAGGAGGGCTTGAGGGTTTAGAGTCTTCTCAGTGTTGGACTTGGATTTGGCTTTATGAGTCTATAGAAATGATATTACTTTATTTTATACATAGAAAAGAATGTAATTGGTGTGGGAATATTCAAAGTTGTTCTGTTATATTACCAAATATAGGTAGGGGACTCCAACAGCCAACAATGGTATGTCTCGAAACTACATAGGATTTGCATTTTGTTGATTATATAGTGAAACTCGAAACTAGCTGGTTACATCGCTTTAAAAAAATTAGTATTATTTTGTTTCATCAAAAAGTATCGACAAAACACCTCTTAAAGGATGGTCCGATGAACCAATCGACGAAGGATGTGATGGGTCTTTGTTGATTCTTGGATAGAAAACGTGCATTAACAAGAAAATTAAAAGTACTAAAATTGGAGGCATCGCGACCAGTCATGTAAAAGCATACTAGAATGTAACGATAACATGAAGGTAAAATTGAACAGACTAGTGTTCATTGATTGATTGGTCGTCCCTTCTTCAAATTACAATCTTAATACTTATAGCTACTAGCAATGGTTAACAACATTTATAAAGAAAACAAATAACATCCTACGCGACTCCTAAAATTTTGCAACATATATTAACAAATATTTACCAAAAGACTCACTATTCGACCATCATGGCCTGATCACTCGCCCCACATCGACGATTACTTCCACAGCTTGCAACTCCTCCTCTTCATGGTTACGACAGCTCACATTTCTCAGCCATTATCATTCATGGCTTTCAAAAATTATGACTCCATGATCTGATGATCGTGCTGGCTTCACGATTAAATGGGTCATTATGGTTGTACTTAAGATTATTGGCTTCATGACTTGAACACTTGTGTAGTCCTTAATTTATCCATCTTCACCCGTAACTTCAATTCCTTCATCGGCTGAACCAAATCTTGTTCCTCAACACTCGTGGCTCAACATTTAATAATTTTCTCTTGCATCACCTATCGGCAACTTCTCATCGCTTTTGTCGATTGCCCATAGTTGCCTACCCAAAGGACTACACAAATTTTGCCTCAACCATATCCTACTCGATCTCCTACAATATGAGTCAACGGTCAGCGACTTGGGCATTTTTTTTTCCTGTTGACATATCTAACGTACACATTATTATTTTACTAATAATTTTATCTAAGGTTAATACCACGAAAAATCCCAAACTGGTACACCTATGACAAATTTACCCCAACTAATTTTTTTTATCACAAAAAACCCCAAATTGGTACATCTGTGATAAATTTACCCCAAACTAATATTTTGATCACAAAAAACTCGAAACTGGTACACTTGTAATAAATTTACCCTCCGTTAAATTGGATTAATACAAAAAAAAATCACAAATTGGTAAACCTGTGAATAACGGAGGGGTAAAATCCAAAACCAGTATACCCGTCAACTGTCACGTGTCATCTAACTCAAAAATTTGAACGGAAGGTAAAATAATCACAGGTGTACCAGTTTGGCATTTTTTGTGGTCAAAAAATTAGTTTGGGTAAATTTATCATAGGTATACCAATTTATGATTTTTCCTGGTATTAACCCATTTTTCTATGTATAAATTAACGGATTTATTCATTAAAACTAAGAAAAGACATGATTAGCTAGGTTCTAGGAAGATTGTTTGGAGTCCCTCAAGCATAAGTGGACAAGTTTGAGACACCATCTAAAACTTTATCTTGGATCTCAATCGGATTCAATTCTATTTAGACTATTTAGGCTCGAGTTTAGGATACGGTTGTATCTCAAAATATCCCTGTATCATCCTTACTCCTCGACCCTCGACCCAACTACCAATATCGCCAATCACCACCATGTCGCCAAAAGAAGTGACAGCTTTTTACAAAAGCAAAGTCATTACACTTGAAATGCAAAAAAATAAAAAAATAAAAAGCGAAAGTCTAAGCTCTATAACCAAAAAAAATCCAAATTTGAACTTCTGTTTACAATCTCTCATTAGTATCTTGAAGAAAGTAGTCATAAGTTTGCTCCATGGCACTCCATCCATTTTTACCATCTAATATGAAGAAACACACATTTCAATGCAAAGTTCAATAAGGTTGTATTATTTGAAATATTTGGGATCAAATGCGTGTCACTTCTAAAGTTCAGGGCTCCCTCTCCCTCCCTCCATCTTTCTTCATCTAAAAATTTGAAGAAACGGACATTTCTATGCAAAGTTAAAGAGGGGTGAGTTATGTGAAAGTTTAGGATCCAGAGTATATCACTTCAAAAGTTCGAGAGATTTGTGCTATTTATCCCTAATTTCTCCAAATCCCATTTTTAACTTTTGAAAAGTCATGTGTATCGTACATGTTAAAAGAAAAATGGACGGATTTGGATAACTATAATACAACGAGAGTTCAAAGAGTGTGGTGCAATATTCAAAAGTTCTGGGCTAAAAGAATATTAACCCCAAAATTTGGGGCGATTTTGTGTAATTTGCCCAAAAAGATCCATGTCTTGTACCTTCTAAATTTGGAGAGTTGAGATATGTGAATTTTGTGTATTTACCTTGCTTGAATGAGAACTACAAGTCCCTTTATATAGGGCAAAGGTGAACTGTAAAAAGAGAATAGTAAACCCTATGAACAGTAAATAGTAAATCCTAAATTATATATTATATCTAACATTCCCCCGCAAATTCAAGGTGAGTTGAAACAAGTCAACTGAAGTTTGGAGAGAAGATCCAAGAAGCGTCCAGGTGGATGTGTCTTGGTGAAGATATCGGCAGTCTGATCGGCTGATGAAGTAAAAACAAGTCGTAGAGTGCCACGAAGAACATGGTAGCGGATGAAGTGACAATCTATCTCAATGTGTTTGGTACATTCATGGAAAACATCGTCATGTGCAATCTGGATAGCACTGCGATTGTCACAATGAAGGACTGTCCCGCTATGATGACGGACTCCCATATCTTCCAATAGCCATCGCAACCATAATAACTCCGATGTGGTATCGGCAAGAGCTCGATATTCAGCTTATGTACTAGAATGAGCAACAGTGGATTGTTTCTTGCTACGCCAGGAGATAAGTGAGGTGCCCAAGAAAAAATAGTAACCCGTAGTGGAGTGACGATGTTGAGGGTCACCGCCCCAGTCATCATCTGAATAGGCTGTCAACTCCAATGTAGAATGAGCAGAAAAGTAAAGGCCATGAAATAACGTACCCTTGACATAGCGAAGAATACGAAGAACTGCAGCAAAGTGAGTCGTACGAGATGCTGTCATGTACTGACTGACAATATGAACAGCATAAGCAATGTCAGGGCAAGTAATAGTGAGATATATAAGACTGCCCACTAGCTATCGATAGAGAGTAGGGTTTTGGAGAGGAGTCCCATCACTGGCATCAAATTTGGCATTGGTCTCAAGAGGGGTCGTAACGACCTTGGTGTCCGTGAGTCCTGCTCGAGAAAGAAGATCAATGGCATATTTGGCTTGCGAAAGAAAATAACCGAAAGTGTCTGAGGTAACCTCCAAGCCTAAAAAATAACTAAGTTGCCCAAGATCCTTCATCTCGAACTGTTGACTAAGATAATGCCGGAGTTTTGAAATACCGATACGATCATCTCCAGTAATAACCATATCGTCCATATAGGAGCAGCAAAATAGACCCACTAGAAGTATGTTGAACAAAAAGAGCATAGTCGTAGGGACTAGATTTAAAGCCAAGGGATGCCATTGTGGATAAACTTGGAATACCATGCACGAGGAGATTGTTTCAATCCATATAATGCACGACATAATCGACACACTTGATGGAAAGAATGAGTATAGCCAGGAGGAGGTACCATATAAACTTCCTCGGTGAGATCACCATTTAGGAATGCATTTTTGACATCCATCTGAAATATAAACGCTTAATAGCGGCGACAGCAAGAAGACTGCGAACAGAAGTAAGACGTACAACAGGGGCAAAAGTCTCTTCATAGGCAATGCCATATTTTTGAGTGAAGCCTTTTACAACGAGGCGAGCTTTATAGCGGTCCATAGTACCATTTGCTTTTGTCTTAATCTTGTACAACCATTTACAGCCGACAGCGGACTTACTAGGAGGCAAATCAACTAAATCCCAAGTATGAGATTTGTGTAAAGCATGTAACTCATCTGTCATTGCCTTCTGCCAAAGAGGGTTAGTACTAGCTTCTCTATATGTGCGAGGTTCATAAAGGGAAGCTATCGTAGAATAACAATGGTAATCTCGAAGCCGAATAGAAGGTTGACTTACTCTGGTGGGGCGACGATCAGAGGAGGAAGGAATGACCGGTGGTGAAGAATCCGTGGAAGGTGCAGACAAGTCAGAAGTGGCCAAAGTGGGGTCACCAGAAGGCCCTGCTTCAAAATGAGGGAAAGATACATCTGGAATGGAAGAATCAGATGTGGACGGAAGTGTGGTATCTTCTG